AGCTCTGTATAACAAAAAATTACCTGGTCAGGAAGGAGAGTAAATCCTCTGGAGGGCAAGTGGTTAAACAGAAGACCTTTCTATATCTTTGTCTGGATTGTGATAAATGCATGGCTGTAGAAAGTGTTGTTCCCAACTGTCTCTAGCACTTGGCCTTTAATGAAAATGTCACCGGGATTTTTCTAAAAGGAACCTCTTTAGAGTTGCCACCTATTCCCTTTTAAAACACATATTAATTATACAGGTTTTGTGGCTGATTAAGGTGGTAAACTCACCTAGTGTCTTATCTGCATTACATTAGCCACAGAACCTGTGTAATTAATATGTATTCAGTTTTAAAGGGCTGAAGTGGCAACCCTACTCTTAATCTAGAAAATCTGAAAGCTGTTCTTTAATGTGCATGCTCCAGAAGAATTGTATGTCATTATCCTTCCTTTACTACCTGGTAAATCAGCAACTTGGAGAAACTGTGTGTATATTAGGTGTCCCACGACTTGATATGGACATGCTTGTTTTGAAATCAGTGACTCACCAAATAGTAAAGGAAAGATAAATATGACAGTACTGGAGCATATCAGCAGTGGGAGCTCCTTGAACAGTTTCTTTTAAATTGGAGCCTCCTCAACAAGTAAGCTGCCAGGTACTGCTCGCTGCCAGGATGTAATGCCAGCACCACCTAGAGGAAACACAACAGTCCCACCACACTATTACTAGAGGTGACAGTCCATTTCTCCTGGGTGTGACTTCTCCACTCAGCAAAATGACACTTCCAAATGTCATCATACAGACAAAATAATAGATAAAGCACATCCAAGAGCAATATACTGTATACTAATGGTGGTAGAAATGTCCACCTATGAAAAAACTTCTAATGGCAAACAAAAATGGACTACATCTTAAAGCTTTTATAGCATATTGATTGAATGTGTACATTACACATGGCACTATTCCATTCTTGAAAAAAAAAAAACTCCTTAACCACTTGACCTCTGCAAGTTTTTACCCCCTTTATGACCAGGGCATTTTTTTTTTGCTATTCCGCACTGTGCTACTTTAACTGGAAATTGCTTGGTCATGCAACGCTGTACCAAAATGAAATTTATATAATTTTTTCACATAAATAGAGCTTTTGTGTGGTGGTATTTGATTTATTTTATTATTTATTTCAGGTGCTTATATAGTGCCATCAATTTACAAAGCACTTTACATATATATTGTACATTCACATCAGTCCCTAACCCTAAAGGGGTGTACAATCTAGGGTCCCCAACTTACATGCATACTTATACTAGGTCCAGTTTAGACAGGATCCAATTAACCTACCAGCATGTCTTTGGAGTGTGGGAGGAAACCCACACAGGCACAGGGAGAACATACAAACTCCAGGCAGGTGGTGCCGTGGTTGGGATTTGAACCAATTACCCTAGTACTGCCAGGTAGAAGTGCTAACCATTAAGCCCATTTGATCACCACTGGGATTTTTAATTTTTATTATTATTATTATACAGGATTTATATAGTGCCCACAGTTTGCTCAGCGCTTTACAATATAACGGGAGACAACACAGCAACAATACAGTTCAATACAAGAGGGATAGGAGGGCCCTGCTCCTTGGAGCTTACAATCTAGGAGGGAGGGGCTAGTGGTACAAAAGGTAGTAACTGTGGGGGATGGACTGGTAGGAAGAGTAGAAGATTCCATTATTAGCTGAGGGCAGGATAGGCTTCCCTGAAGAGATAGGTTTTCAGAGATCGCCTAAAAGTGAGCAGAGTAGGTGATAGTCTGATAAATTGGGGTAGAGAGTTCCAGAGGATAGGGGAAGCTCTGGAGAAGTCCTGGAGATGAGCATGGGAGGAGGAGACAAGGGAGCTAGAGAGCAGGAGGTCATGCGAGGAGCAGAGAGTACGGTTTTGGGTGATATTTTGGAGACAAGATTGGTGATGTAATTTGGGGCAGAGTTATAAATAGCTTTATATGTTCTTGTTAATGTTTTGAATTTTATCCATTGGGCAATGGGAAGCCTGTGGAGGGATTGGCAGAGAGGGGTGGCAGATACAGAATGGTTAGTAAGATGGATGAGTCTGGCAGCAGCATTCATGATAGACTGAAGAGGGGATAGCCTGCGATGAGGTAGGCCAATGAGGAGGGAGTTACAATAGTCAAGGCAAGATATAACAAGGGAGTGAATAAGTTGCTTAGTGGTTTCCGAGGTTAGGAACGGTCGTATCTTGGAGATGTTGCGGAGGTGCAGTCTACAAGATTTGGACAGCGATTGGATTTGGGACTCAAAGGACAGATGAGAGTCCAGGATTACACCCAGTACCCTGGCATGAGGGGAGGGACTGATGGTTGTGTTATTGATCTTGATGGAGAAGTCGGGGGGGGGGGGGGGGCACGGGCTAGAGGGAATACTAAGAGTTCAGTTTTGGAAAGATTGAGTTTGAGGAAGTGGAGAGACATCCATGCCGATATGTCACTTAGTAGGTTAGTAATGCGAGAGGAGACTGAAGGGGTGAGGTGAGGGGTAGAAAGATAGATTTGTGTGTCATCAGCATAGAGATGGTACTTAAAGCCATGGGAGTTTATCAAGTGACCAAGGGAGGAGGTGTAGATGGAGAAGAGTAGGGTTCCAAGGACAGAACCTTGAGGGACCCCTACAGAAAGAGGGAGTGGAGAGGAGGAGACAGAGTTATAGGTGACGCTGAAGGAGCACTGTGATAGGTAGGAGGAGAACCAGGAGAGAGCAGTCTCTAAGGCCAAGAGAGTGGAGTTTTTTGAGGAGGAGGGAATGGCTTATTATATAAGCATATATAAATTACATAAATTTCTACTTTCTATTATAAAACATATCCAATCAAATAAAATGTCTTCATAAATTTAGGCCAAACTGTATTCTACTACATGCCTTTGGTAAAAAGGAAAAACCCCAATAAGTGTATATTAATAGGTTTGTGTGAAAATTCTAGCGTCTACAAACTACGGTATATATACTGAAATTTACGCATCTTTAGACACTATACTTGTAATGGCGCCTTTTAGTGTGACTATGATAGTGTGGTGGCAATCTGGCACTAACAGACACTTACATCGCTAGTGACACTAATACAGTGATCAGTGATAATGACACTGGCTGGGAAGGGGTTAACATCAAGGAGAAAAATCAAGCGGTTAAACATGTGCCAGCCAGTGTATTGTGTGTAATGTATGCAGCTTTTACTTACAGATCTGGCTGCTTTTTCTCCCTGCTTTTCAGGGAGAAGAAACATGCAGATCACTGTTCTGTGTGTTTGTAAACACAGAACTCTGTCCTATGACTGGCCACAGCGAATCAGCAGGTTTCAGCCTAAAATCATTGGATGGAACCTGCTGAAAAACTTGTGCTACATCCAATCACAGCATGGGTCAACAGGGGGTGCCCACACATTCGGCCAAAAACCAGGAAGTTCACTAAAACGTAAGGGTACATCATGTTGCCTGGCTGTGCTGCCTGCTAGCAGGAAATGCAATGTTGGCAAGCAGCAAGTGGTTAAACTGCCGTGCAGTCCAGTTAATAAATGATACTCTATGTTTTTCAGTGTCCTCCATTCCCTGCTTTTTTTAGTGATCATTTAGCCCCCCATTCACAACCAAGCAATTTTTCACATATTTTTGCGCCTAAGCCTACACACAACAACATTCAACAGGAATCCCACTCTTGTTGAAACAGACTGTCCACATCTCTATATTCAGTTGCTCAAAGCTTGCAAAGATGCATGAGCTTTCCTTTGGAGCTGTGGTGCGCAACTTTGGCCCCAATGGAAGCACCTATAAATGTACAACACAATTATCTTCAAGCATATTTGTACCTAAACAATTGTTTTCCTCTGCTATCCTCCTTCTTTTCCTTCTACCCAGGAACTAGCATACAAAAACCTGTAAAACACTTAGAAAATGCATATACACATGCAAAAATGTGCAAAACAAAAAGTCTGTATAAGCATGCTTGCTGGATGTGAATTGAGGCTTAGGGAATTCATTCATATTACTAAATTGCATGGTTCTCTATAAAGCAGAGAGATATGCATAAAAATTAAAAGATATAAAATCTGTGATTATCCTTAGTAGATTCTCACTATTGGTGGATTGGAAGGGTTTGCTGTTAGTTGTTAGTTGCTGCAGCTATTACTTCTATTCATATATATACATTTGCCTGGAGTTTTCTTGTTCTCCCTGTGCCTGCGTGGGTTTCCTCCGGGTACTCCGATTACCTGCCACACTCCAAAGACATACTGGTAGGTGAATTGGATCCTGTCTAAATTGTCCCTAGTATGTGTATGTATGAATGTGAGTTAGGAACCTTAGATTGTACACCCCTTGAGGGTTAGGGATTGATGTGAATGTACAATATATCTATGTAAAGTGCTGCGTAAAATGATGATGCTATATAAGTACCTGTAATAAATAAATAATAAAATAAACATACATATCACATGCGGACAGAATGGGGGAGATTTACTAAAACGTGAGCACTAAGAATTTGGTGCAGCTGTGCATAGTAGCCAATCAGCTTCTAACCTTAGCTTGTTCAATTAACCACTTGCCCTCCAGAGGATTTGCCCCCCTTCCTGACCAGGCCATTTTTGTGATACGGCGCTGCGTTATTTTAACTGATAATTGTGCGGTCATGCAATGCTGCACTCAAATGAAATTTACGTCCTTTTATTTCCCCCACAATTAGAGCTTCCTTTTTGTGGTATTTGATCTCCGGTGCTTTTTTTTTTTTTCTTTGCACTATAAACAAAAAAAAACTGACAATTTTGAGAAAAAAAAACATTTTTGACTTTTTGTTATTTAACATGTCCAATAAAAAAATAAAAAAATCTAATTTCATCATAAATTTAGGCCAAAGTGTATTCTGCTACATGTCTTTGCTAAAAAAAAATCCCAATACGTGTAAATTAATTGGTTTACGTGAAAGTTATAGAGTTTACAAATGGCGGTATATATACTGTAATTTTTTATTTTTTTTATTACTAAGGGTGGCGATCAGCGACTTATAGTGGGACTGCAGCAGGCATTCTAACACTGGGGGGAACTGACTTGGCTGTCACTGACATCCCCAGTGACACCAATAGGGTGATCAGTGCTAATAAAAACCACTGACACTGTACTAATGACACTGGGCAGGAAGGGGTTAACATGTGGAGCGATCAAAGGGTTAACTGTGTGTCAGTTAGTCAGTGTCTGTTAGTGCCAGATTGCCCGCCACACTAAAAGCATTACAAGTATAGTGTCCAAAGATGCGTAAATTCAGTATATATATATATATATATATATATATATATATATATATACTGTGGGGCTGTGTCTGCGTTTCACTGTAAGCACACTGCTTTGTATGGCCCTGCTATGCAGAGCCATACAAAGCAGAGTGCAGGAGCTGACGGGAGAGATCTGTATTCTTTATGTACAAGTCTCTCCCCAGTTGGAAATCCTTGGAGATCGCGGGTGCCAATCACCGGAAATCACCGGCTTGGACCCAGTTGATGATAGCCGAGGCCACAAATGGCGGTGCAGGTAAAGTGAGCACGCGTTCGCCCCCTACCCAAACATGCGAAATCACGTAAATATACGTGATCTTGTGCACCCATGCCGCCCTGTAGCAGTATTTCTGCTACAGGGCGGCATGGAAGCGGTTAAACTTTGACAATAAATCCTGGAAGCTGATTGGTTTTTGTGCAGAGTCGCCCCCAGATTTTGCACTCTCCCATTTTAGTAAATCAACCCCAATACGTCTTTTGTTTGTTCTGTGCTTAGTGAATCACATTGAAGTAATGGCAGAAAAATAAAGAATTCTGGAAGCGTTGAAGAGTTCTACAAAGGAAGAAAGAGTGGAGACAGTAATTAGCGGAGGGCTTGACTATTTCCCGCCTATTCCCCTGAGACAATGAGATTTTTTTGCACTTCTTTTATTATTGAGGGACAAGACGGGAGCCTGAATAATAGATCATGCTTTTAGCTCCTGAGAAACTCGTGCACAATCTGTCATTTTTATTGCAAGAACAACACTTTCCCACTATGCCTGGTCACTTAAGAACTGAAGGAGAGAAATGTCTTATAATTACAAGAGAAGATGAACTAATGTCATTAGGGAAAACTTAAGATTCATTACCCACATGGTAATTGTATGCCTTTAGGAATGAGTGCATTTTCTTGCTAACATGATAGAGTTGCCTATATACGGTGGGGGGGGGGGGGGGGAGGTGATATGGTGGATTGAGTCCTAAGCAATGATTATTTATTGATTCGCTGGGCCTGGATACAGAAAAGAATCACCCCAGCTTCATTGGAATAGCATTCTTACACAACACATGCGTCCTATATACAGTATAAGACGTACTTATGATAAACTCCTGTGGTAAACGGTCAGCAGCCTATGGAATCACAAGAATATGCAGCGGCAAATGTTCTTCAGAGTTACAACATGGCGTGTACCACTCACAGTAAAAGAGAAGTATGGCCAAAGCTTGCTATGGGTCACAGGAATGCACTTACTTTTGCACTCAGAATCTGCTGACAGCGGGCTAAAGTCTACTGTCGGCTGATGTTATAGAGCCGTTCCAAACTGGAGGATCCTGATCCACCCAGATTCCTGACTGGCAGCTGGTTCAATCTCTCAGCGGGCCACTGAGAACCTGATCCAACTGCTCCCACCCCCCTCTCCTGCCTGGTACTGCAGTGAGCTCTGCAGGGGCATAGCACAGAGCGGTGACTGACAGTCACCACTCTCTATTCACAGTGGACCTGAGAACTGAGTGCTCATGTGATCGCTTAGTGCTCAGGCTTAGATGCTGGGACAGCACCATATAGGCGAGTATGTATTTTTTCTTTTTTTCACTTCCAACGCCTCTCCTTTCATTTATATTTTGTTTAATCCAAGTCAGTTTATGAATATTCATGTGGAAAATTTAGTTAATCGCTCACTGCATCTGTTTCCTTTGTCACCTCCTCATATGCTCACCTCCAGGACTTCACCAGAACCTCTTCCATCCTCTGGAACTGTATAACAAAACACCAGCGCTTAGATGGATAGAAATATGCAGTAAAAGCTGCTAAAAGCCACTTATGTACCTACAGAATAGCACAGACAAACAAATATAGATGGTGTGTAGCGCTGATACTATAAACAATAATAACATACAGCTAGTAAATATGCTTAATGGAATGCTCCTTATAACTATGAAAAATATATCATAATCTCATAGATACCATTAAGATTAAGACCAAACATACAATGTACATAAATCCATGTCAGTGAATGACACCATAGGAATAACAATCACTAGTGTAAGTGTAACACACTCAATCTGTGACAAATGGTGATAAATAAGTCCACTTCACACACAAGTGAAAAAATATTCATAGACGTGAAGGTGCCTTATGTGCCATAAATCCCAGAGTGGTCTGAGTGCCCCCTCACCTCCTTGCAGTGACCACAAGAGCCAGACAACTCCAAACGATCTATGGATCACCTTCCCATTTGGACTGTAATGGTTAATAACCAGGGCTTTGGCCAGACCTTCTCCTGCACTCCACCGTTCTGGCAATACTTCACGTCCCTTTAGGTCCCACTCAGAGACACAAACAGATACGCTCCATAGTGTAATATTATCACTTTATTGAATAAAAGTAAAAAATACCCACTCACATGTTAACAGGTATCAAAAAACGCTAGCTGTCCTCATAGCATGTGGCTTCATGGAGTACCAATACTCCACCACATGCTATGAGGACAGCTAGCGTGCGCCGGAAATGACGTCACCACGTCCCGGATAGGTACGCCTGTCCAGTTCATCCCAAAACATCTCAACCGCTTGACCTCCGGAAGATTTACTCCCTCCAGACCAGGCCCTTTTTTGCGATACGGAACTGCGTTACTTTAACTGACAATTGCGTGGTCATGCAACGCTGTACATAAATGAAATTTATGCAATTTTTTCCCCCTACAAAAAGAGCCTTTCTTTGGTGGTATTTGATTGCCACTGCGCTATTAACAAACCCCAATATATTTTGTTTTCTGATATAAAACATATCCAAAATAAAATAAAAAATTAAAAAAATCGAATTTCTTCATAAATTTAAGCCAATATGTATTCTGCTGTATATTTTGGTAAAAAAAATCCCAATAAGTGTATATCGATTGGTTTGAGCAAAAGTTATAGCATCTACAAACTATGGGATATATACTGGATTTTTTTTTATACTAGCAATGGCGGCGATTAGCTACTTATAGCGGGACTGTGATGTTGCGGCGGACATTTATACAGTAACTAACACTTTGTGGAAACCAGTGACTTTATGGATACAAAACCAAATCCCAACAAGCCTTCACCTGCTACAAATCTGCCTTCCCACACCTCCTCCCTCCACGCAGCCAAACAAGCCTACTTCCTGACCCTCATCAAGGACCTCTCCTCCAACCCTTGCCAACTCTTCTCCACCTTCAACTCTCTACTCTCTCCACCTCCACCTCCACCCAGCACCTCACTCACCGCCCTTGAGATTGCCAATCACTTCAAAAACAAGATTGACACAATTCGCAAGGACATTGCCACAACTCACACGCCCTCTCAACCCGTCCCCTCTCACACAGCTACCCCCTCATCCCCCCTCCCCCTCGACATAGCCCGCAGGGACTTCGTCGCTGCCTCAAACCCCCTCCAACCCCCTTCCCCCTCACTCAGCTACCCCCTCATCACCCCTCTCCCATGGCCCCACCACTGCTCTGACCTCCTCTTCCACCCCCCACCCTACATTCCTCATACTGAAGCTCCCCCAGCACTCCGCACCTTTGACCTTACTACCATCGAGGAAGTCTCCAAGATCCTCTCTGATGCCCGCCTCACACCTGCACCCCTCAACCCTATCCCCTCACAACTCCTACGTCCTCCCTCCCCCTCCATCCTACCCACATCTTCAATCTCTCCCTCTCCTCCGGCACTTTCCCCTCCTCTCTGAAACATGCACACATCACCCCCATACTTAAAAAACCCTCCCTAGACCCCAATGACCCGAACAACCTCAGACCCATCTCCCTGCTCCCATTTACATCTAAACTCCTCGAGCGCCTAGTCTACACCCGCCTATGCTCTCACCTCAACGACAACAACCTCCTCGATCCCCTACAGTCCGGCTTCTGTCCCCTACACTCCACCGAAACTGTCTTACTCAAACTCTCCAGTGACCTGCTAACCGCCAAAGGTAATGGCCACTATTCAGTGCTCCTACTCCTTGACCTCTCTGCAGCCTTCGACACAGTCGACCACCCCCTCCTCCTCAAAAAACTACACTCCCTCGGCCTCAGAGATTCCGCTCTCTCCTGGCTCTCATCCTACCTGTCACAACGCTCCTTCCCCGGACACCACCCCCCATTGACTTCTCTATCACATCCAACAACGCTACCATCAAACCCGCCCCGCAGGCCAGAGTACTTAGTGTCATTCTGGACTCCAACCTATCCTTCCAGCCCCAAGTCCAATCTTTAACAAACTCGTGCAGACTCCACCTCCGCAACATCGCCAAAATACGCACGTTCCTAACCCCAGAAACCACTAAACAGCTCATCCACTCCCTCATCATATCACGACTCGACTACTGCAACTCCCTCCTCACTGGCCTGCCTTGCCGCTGGCTTTCCCCGCTTCAGTCGATCCTGAATACGGCTGCCAGACTCATTCACCTTTCCAACCACTCCATCTCCGCCACCCCCCTCTGCCAATCCCTCCACTGGCTTCCGATTGCGCAACGGATCAAATTCAAAATCCTAACGCTGACGTACAAAGCTGTCCACCATACTGCCCCGAACTACATCACTGACCTAATATCCAAGTACCGCCCAGCACGCACACTCCGCTGCTCACAAGACCTCCTTCTCTCTAGTTCCCTGGTCTCCTCCTCCCATGCCTGCCTCCAGGACTTCTCCAGGGTGTCACCCATCCTCTGGAACTCCCTGCCCCAACCCATCAGATTATCACCTACTCTCCTCTCCTTTCGGCGCACCCTGAAAACCCATCTCTTCAGGGAAGCCTACCCCACCCCCTGCTAACTTGCCGACCTCCTCCACTCTTCCTACCACTCCATCCACCACAGCTATCTCCTCCTGTGCCACCATCCCCTCCCTCCTGGATTGTAAGCTCAAAAGAGCAGGGCCCTCAATCCCCTCATGTTTTGCATTGTATTGGTATTGTTCTGTCACATGTTCTGTCCCCCTCTGTAATGTACAGCGCTGAGCGAACTATTGGTGCTTTATAAATACTGTATAATAATAATAATAATATAATACAGAGATCAGAGCTAAAAATGTAAGCAGAGTATACACACTGACAATGACTGTAGGTAGTGGTAGAAAGCTGCTTGTGATAGGGGTGATGGCATCACCCCTACAGCAGACGTGTGTTTACACGAAACGCGTCTAGGAGGAGCCC